CGCCGGGCTGCGGCCGGGCGGGCGGCCGGGAGGGAGTGGGGCAGGCCTGGGAAAACCACGCCTCCTCCTGCGCTCCAGAAAGCGTCTCCCGAGCCGAACAGAGCCGCTCTGTGCCGGGCGCGCGAAGGGAGGCGCTGAGCGCCGCGCCTGGCGGGGGCCTTCCTCCCCCCGCCCCCCTTTCCTGCTTTGGGAAGTGCCCCCCCGGGCTTTGCATGCACGGGGAAATAGTCCTCAGCAAGCAGCCGTTCTGTTCGGGGGGGGCAGGTGGCAGCACCAGGGGCCAAGGGCTCAGCTTGCAGCCAGGCAAGTTTGGGTGGGATATTTGGAGGAGCTTCCTCAGTAGGAGCGGGGTCAAGTGCTGGAACGGGTTACCCAGAGAGGTGCTGGATTTGGTGCCTGACCCTAGAAAATGCGGGTTGGAAGGGACCTAGCCCAACCCTATACAAACCATCTTATACCCGCCATCATCTTGATGGTCTGCTTAGGTCCCTTCCCACCCTACAAACTATGAAACTATCACTCTAACCTCTCCCTATGGGTTTCCAGAAGAGGGGCCAGACCCTCCAGCCAGCAGGAGCCCCTCTGATCCTACAAAATGAGGGTTGGAAGAGACTTCAAGAGGTCACATCTAGTCCAACCCCCTGCTCCAAGCAGGACCAGCCCCAACTAGATCATCCCAGCCAAGGCTTTGTTGAGCTGGGTCTTAAAAACCTCCAAGGATGGAGCTTCTGCCACCTCTCTGGGTCACCTGTTCCAGTGCATTACGACAAAATCCTTGGAGGTTTTAAAGATCTGACTGGACCAAATTGTGGTTGGGATGATGCAGTTGAGGCTGGTCCTGCTTTCAGCAGGGAGTTGGACTAGATGTGACCTCCTGAGGTCTCTTCCATCCCTTGTGTTCCAGGATCAGAGGGGCTCCTGCAGGCTGGAGGGTCTGGCCTCTCTAATTGAACCTCTTTTACAGATGTTAGTGTGATGATGGAGGGTATAAGATGATTTGTATAGGGATGGTCATAAGCAGGGGGTTGGGCTAGATGTGACCTCTGGAGGTCCCTTCCAGTTGGGCTTCTCCGTGACTTCTTTGAGACGTGGGTCAGGTGCCCCCAGGAAGGAAGGATCAAAGGGTGGAGGTGGGAAGAGGCAAGGCAAAAAAGTGTTGGCATGTTACCTGGCATCTGCAAGAGGCCAGAACAGGACTAAAAATAGGAGATTAAAGGGAACGTCGGCAGTGCTGTGCTGGGGCCATCCGTCTAGCCCTGCAGCCTGTCTCCAATAATGGCGAAGTGGATGCTGTACGGGGAGAGCATCGAACCACATCTATCTGGGGTGATCTACCTCCTATTCAATACTCTCCTGGCATCCTCCCTTTAGAGATGTCAGAGGAAACATCTCCAACTGCTCTGTTCACCAGCCACTAATGGCTTTGCAACCCATGCATTTATCCAGTCCCTTTTTTGGCACCTGGCTGTGCTATGTGCCTCTACCACCTCCTGCGGCAATGAATTCCACAAGTTAACCACACGTGGTGAAAAACAGCTCCCTGGTCACTTCGTCCACGCCCTTCATGATTTTATAGGCTTCTATCCTATCCCCCCTCAGCTTTCGCCTTTCCAAACTGAAGATGAGGGGGAGACCAAGCCAGGGTGCCATGATGCCTCCCATCCCTCAGCGTGCCCTTCCTGCTCCCCAGCCCAGAAGGGTGTATCGAGGCATCATTTGACACTCCTGATATTTTTCACTGTGCCCTGATTAAATCCAAGCCTTTGGCCACTTAAGCCCCTGCCCCCAAAGTAAAATTCATGGGTCATTTCAATCACCTTGAGAATGCCATTAAGCTTATCAGGCCCTTGGGGCTTTGGTCTTCCTGGCCTCTATTTTATAGCAAGAAAGTTGTCTCTTCCCATTCCCTTCTCTTTTTTATTTGTTTCTACATTATAGGGAGGCAGGGAATTCTTTTATTGGACCAACTGTGTAGTTAGGATTGAATTAGACGAGCTTTCAAATGCAAGGCACCTCCACAAACTAACGTCGCCTTCAATGACGCACTGGTGAGTCTGGCTACTGGCGTGACACCTTGCGGAAGCTGCGCTGTGAAATCCCCCATCTCTGTTTTTTCCGTGGACCTTGTACTCCTAAGTGACCCCAACCTCAGTGACCCCATCCCTAACGTAGTCATGAGACTGGGATACAGCCATGGTGCAGGGCCTCTGCCTGTATGCTCTACCCTGCCACAGCCACGTGTCACAGACTTTCGGCTCTTTGGGACAGGAGCCACCTGGGTGGGGCCCGAGTTTTTGTTGGTCCTGAGGCTCTACCATAACACACACAACCAGCATTCACTTTCCGCCTGTTTAATTTGGAGGTGACGGGACTAAATCAGCCTACCACGCTCCCGTTCATCTCAAGGCCTACACTGTGCTCGTATCCCTTTCCAGACTAGAGACTTGCACCAATTATTATTACTAAGACATATGCTCATTTTCCTTCAGTTATTTGCATTTGAAATTCAAAAGGATCTTTGCCTTCAAACTCTTTGTGTCATTCATATTTTTTAATTTCTCAAGTCCAAAAAAAAAAAAAGAGCGGATAAAGCTTTACAAAAATGCCATTTTAAATGAAAAGCTTTTTCTTGGTTAGAACATTGCACACCAGGTACTTGGTGTGAGGTGCAAGGAGACGCTTCACATTTCTAAGGTGGTGGAACAGGGGATAGTGTCCGTAAATAGCTGATGAGAAATAAAAAGCAGCCCACGAGTGCCATCTGAAGGCTCCTCTGTTTAATGCTCTAACTAGCATATATCCCCAAAGTGAAGGCTCAGGATTACTCAGACATTATGAATGCAAGAGGAGCAGAGGGAGAAACTGTCCCCTTCACTCACATCAGTGCAACCCCATGGACCTCTGTGGAGCAGTGGACAATCTGGTCTGCAAAGGACAATGCGAATGAAGATTAGCATTAGTGACCATTGAGGCCCCATTGCTCTACTTGCTTGGGGTTAGGGTGGGAGGGCTCCGATGCTGGCGAGGTCTCTTAGGATGGGTTAGTTCGATTCAGTCAATGCATGAGAAGACTTTTGATGACTAGTCTGAAATGGTTTTCAGGGCTCATGCTTCCCACATGGGGTTACTTTCCTGTTTCAGCCTTGGCAGTCTGTATTGAAGAGGATGCACTGGTCTTTTCCCTTTTATCTGTTCTCTGGCACCAGTGAGTGGCATTTGGTTCCCTTGGGCCAGCCCTCGGAGGAGATCTGCCCTGCTCACAAAACCACCAACCATCTGGGCAGATTGCCAGCAGCTCCCGCAGCTTCTGCGCAGCAGAGTCCCGGCAGGAACGTGAGAGATCTGCGAGGAGGGGGCCGTGCTGCAGGTCTGGCCTAGGGCCCAGGACCCAAACTTGGGCAGGGAAAGGGGGCATTTACCTAACCCCTTTCCCCACCCTGCCACTTCCTCCCTTCTAGGATCACCAAAATGAAGCTCTGCCTCCAAAACCAGCCACCCCCCTTCATCCGCTTCCTGTTATTTCCATCTCCCCCTTAAGAGCCCTACACCAGGGCTTTGCCTTTCTTGCCACCCTCGCTATTCAATCTCATCTCCTGTACCAGTGCCAGCGGCCAGAAGGCCCCCTGATTTCACTGCTGTTTCCATTCCCCCTTCTGCCTCTGTGGGGGGATTCAGACCTCCGTCTCAACGCCCTGCCCGCCCCAAGGAAAACCCATCCAGGAATCCCCTTCTTGCTCCCTTGCTACTTTCTGGGGGGTGGTTGGGTGCTGCAGCCACCAGGGGGCATCGGGATCTTCATGGCACCCCCTCCAGAGGCCACTGCTGTGGGCCGTGGCACTTCCCATCCCACCAACTGGAAGGCTGAAAATGGGCAAGGAGGGTCTTGGGGTTCCCCATCCCTCGTCCCCCGGGGGATGGCTGCACCTTGCTTTCCGCCTGCAAGGAAGGCAGGTGAGGATGGACTGAATCGCCTTATTTTCACGGGGTGATGAAGTTTCTCCTGCCCAGCAGAAGCAGGGGAAAAGATGGTTTTGCTGTGGGTCTAACCCGTCATTCACTTCCTTCAGCTGGCCTGATGTCTGCCGGGAAGCACAGTGGAGGAAGCCTGGCATTTGGAGCATCCCTAGAGGCTCTTCCAATCCTCGCTCCTCTTGGAATCGGGGGAGTTTTGCCGTCTGCCCTCGAGGGCCCCAAGCATTTTGTAACTTTAATTTAGGGCATCTGCTGCGGCCGCGCCCTGCTGATGTCAATGGCAGTGCTGCTGTGGGCTCCGTGGGGGCCGGGTTGTGCTCCCGGGGCGTGTGCTTGCTCAGGGCAAAGCCACACTGCTCTGCAATCCAACTCGGTGCTCTTTTCTCTGCCGGAGCCTGAGCATCTGCCTCGCAGAGGCTTGGCCGAAGCTGCGGGCGTTAATCATTTGCAGCCGCTCCAACGAGACCTGGAGGACTTGGCCTTGCGCAACGAGCGTGACC